TCACGATTTATTCCTACCAATTTATAATATATAAAAATATTAAAACTTTATATCTTTAGTTAAATCTCATTTAGGAATTCGTATATTCATTTTTTTCTATAACTTAATTTTGGATAGCCTCTTAAAATTCTTTGACAAACAAGATTTGAATGCGACTCTCTCTTTAGACTTAGAGCATTCTCCTTTTTAAGTCATGACATTGACAGATACTGTGATGAATAATTAAGCTAGAAAAAATTTATTACGTGCATCATTTCCATTTGACCTGAAGGTAATTTATCTTTACAATGAATGTTGAACCAAAATCGAAGACTTTGTTTCAATGCAGTATTAATCGGGCCATCATCAGCTGTTACTCGTAAAAAAACTGATAAATCACGATAGACATAATAAGATGCTGCCAAAGTAGGATATGATTGAATGATTGACCTCAAAGTACTATTGTTGAATTCAAAAATGGTTTCAAAATGTTTTTAATAATAGTTAATAAATCTCATTCATCTTGATTAAGAGGTAATTCTTTAAATCGTTTTCTTTGATTTTCTATTAATCCGATTATATTATTTGGAAAAGCAAACATATTATCAAGAGCATCTTTATACTTTACTACTCGTTCAAGTAATAAAAACGAGCTATTCCAACGAATTTTCATATCCAAAACAAGACCGCCAGTTTTATTATTAGGATCTACGGACATCATATATTTATTAATGTATTCATTATGATTACGAATAAATTTAATTACAATTCGAATTTTTTAATAGATTTTTTTAATTGATGATTTAATGGTGAATTATACTCATTTAATTTAAGTGAAGAAAATTCACGATCGATATCACAATCACTATCTGATTCATTGTAAACAATAACATTAACATCAGTATTATCTTCACTGATTGAACTAGAATTTTCTTTTTCTTCTTCGCTAATTAAATCTGAAGCTGCATCATCTGAATCTTCATCAACTTCACTTAGATTATCAATATCAGCAGCATCAATATTTTTCCATTCGTCCAAATTAAATGCTGATTGAAGTAAAATGCTAAAATAGAAAAAAAGCCATATTGTTCCGGTAAATTATATAAACATTTAAATGCGGTTGAGAAGGTCATGGTAAGTTAAAAATCATATACAATTTCACACAAATCATGCTTGTTGATTTCTGTTTTATACGGTAGAAGTCTTTTTTAGTCAATAGAAAAAGATAAAACCACTCATTCTAAATTTGTGAGTCTCGACGGAAACCAGTAAGCAGAGATCTATTCAAATGATATCTCTTTATGGCTACTGGCTATCCTTTGACTCGTCATGTGCAAAAAAAAAATTGTCCATACCATATCTTTAAATAACCATTAGAAATATAGAAATCTGTTATGACGTACGATAGTCATAGATTAAGAACAAACTAATAAGGAAATGATTCAGTATAAATTTCGCTTAGTCTCAGTAGTCTCTCTAATGGCACAAGACTTCTATCAAAATCTTTTTATTACCTAGCTATATACTCTCTTAAGTATTAGGTGAGTAAAAAAGATATTAGCAGTTATAGACATGAGTACAGTTATAGACATGAGTTAGAGTAGTCAGTAAGACATATTATTAAATTATCAACAAACAATGGCAGGACTTATTAGCTTTGCGGTCTATTGACTCGAAGTTATTTTCAAACTATAGTAATTGATAAAAAGTTATGAAATACTTTTAAAAAATCGTACTTTAAATTTACTTTTCAAATCATACTTACTCATCTGGTTTTGGTTCAATCCAAAGATAAAGACCTTTTCTTATGACCGTATTAAGATTATGTGCCATACAGCTAATTGGAGCCACTTTTCACAGAGCGGCTAATTTCGTATCTGAAGTGCAACCGGTACCGGTATGAACTATAACGCCGACCGATATAGCGGCCAGTTTACCGGTACCGATATGAATTATAAGAGGAGATGAACTGAACCAAAGCGAATCACGTACATGTAAAAAGTCAGTTTAGCAGTGATGTAGCTAAGAAGAGTTTTTGATGTCTCGTCCTTTTCGGGCTTCTTCTGGCTACACTATCGGTCACTAGGTGTAATTACCTTACACAAGAACTTGATGTAGAGATTATTAGCATTCATTAATCACCGTACAAATACTTTCAAAACTCAAGCAGCGTAAATGCATTACCGTTTACGATATATTCTTTGTCTTATGATTGGCTTATCCACGGAATATTTGACAGCCATTTCTCCATTGTGTTATGTACAAAACAGACAGAAGTCTTTTGCATGCACATCGACGTCATCTCATACCAATAACTTGGATTGCATAATATTCATTGCATTAAGAACTTTCGTATCGAAAGAAAAAGATTGCATATTTAAGTATTTATCGTGATTCAGCTTTTCTGGGTTAGTTCTCTTATATGATTGTCTTGAATACTTAGTCCTAGTGACCGACAGTGTAGCCAGAACAAGCCCGAAAAGGACGAGGCATCAAAAACTCTTCTTAGCTACATCACTGCTAAACTGGCTTTTTACATGTACGTGACACTACATTTTGCAGTGAATAGTATTCAATTCACTACAAAGTGTAGTGTTTGAAAAAATTTTCTATCGCTTTCTTCTTTGAGAGCTATTTATCATTTTCCAAACTGTGAAAAATTTAGGGCTTTTTTTTGTCACAGCGTCACGGGTCGAAAAATTTATCCGGAGGATCTGAAGTTCAAGCAAATTTGCTGATCTTTTCAGCATAGATAGAGTGCAGTGGGACGCGTAAAATGGCGCAAGAACCAGCTCTATTTTCGCTTGGACGTATACTGGTCATGATAGATTGTAGAGCATATCAACTTCCTATATGGAAGAGTTAGTTTTTTAACTTTTGTCTATTAGCGAGCGGTTTGTCCAAACGTGACGCTCTGACATTTTTGACGCAATCGTTATTTTTCTCAAAAACTATAATAGCTATAGAGCTGGTTCTTGCGCCATTCTACGCGCCTCACTGCACTCTATCTATGCTGAAAAGATCAGCAAATTTGCTTGAACTTCAGAGCCTCCGGATAAATTTTTCGACCACCCGTGATGCTGTGACAAAAAAAGGCCCTAAATTTTTCACAGTTTGGAAAATGATAAATAGCTCTCAAAGAAGAAAGCGATAGAAACTTTTTTCAAACACTACACTTTGTAGTGAATTGAATGGGCTATTCAAACGCAAAAAGGAATTTTTCTCCAGACCCTTTTGGAAAGGCAGAAAATGCATTTTATTACCGTGACGCTGTGACACACTTTTTTGTAACACAATTTTTAGGCACTAAACCATGTTCAAAAAACTTTATATTTATATTCTATTTAGCTCTACACATTCTGCTATGATTTCATTCAGAACTAAGATTCAGGAACTTCCAGAAGGTTTTAAACCAAGGCGAAAGTCAAAAAGTTAAAGCAGCCACGGTGTCTCGACTGAGAAACAAATCTCAAAACAAAATAAGGCATTTTGTAGAGAATTGAATTCTCTACAAAATGGTATAAGTTTGAAATTTTTTGACTAAACTATCTAAGTCAGGAAATTGAAATTAAAAGTTTTTAAAACTATTAGATTTGAATTTTTATATGGAAAATTAATTTTCTCTTCAAAATAAAAGTCATATTCGCGATCACCATGAAAAGCTGAGTCTAGAGGTGTGCCCCTATCGGTTTTCAGATGAACAAAATAAAAAATAGACTTGATCAGCGAGGCGTCGCATTACGCGGATATGTAGGTAGGGGGTTGAACCTTCCCCGTTTTTCCCATCACTTTACTGTCCATGTCGACTTACACCGAGGACACCGAAGTTTCTATGACACTTCAGTAAGCCACAATCTGTGACAAAGTTTTAGTATATTAAATTCACGAAGAATAGAATTTTAGGAAAATGTTTAACTGTAAGAAATGAGTTGTGGCTAAAGTGTAAGAGTTTTTGCTGACAATCTTTAAGTTGGAAAATTTCCCTCATAAGTTTGCGACTGGTGTCACTGAATATACGTCACTGGTAAAACAGATTATAGATAGTAAAATGTTTGTAAATAATATCGAGGCCTAGTCGCTTGATGTTCCACTTTATTGAGCGCATAAAGTTATGCCTCTGATTGCTTTTCCCAAAGCATTTCACTGACATATTTATTCCAAGAAAGATTGAAAGCGAAATGCAGATTGAGATGTGTAAATGGTATTGCTTCTGTTATTCGGCTTGTCCACATAACGCGACTCCTCAATGATTAAGTTTTAAGATTTTTTGTAAAGAAAATGAATTATGCCAAATTGTAGAACACGGTCGATACTATTGAAAAACATACTTTTTGACTCCTGAAATGTTTTGACGACGTGCTCATAGATCGAACACTAAACATCAAAGGACACCTAACAAAACACCACCTGGTGGTGTTCATTTTTTAACATTTGGGCAACGTATAGATTTCACCTGAAGTTGTCCTTTTATTGACGAAAGATAGAATCAATTCGAAGATTCTTTTGATGTATAGTTCGATTTTTTTCCTTTCTTCGTTCTCTTGTGCCACTCAAAATAAAACATGATCAAACATGACGTAACAGCGCTACCAACAAGCCCTTTTTGTTTGCTTTATATAATAGGGTTACACTGGAACGACTTTTCTCTCCATAATTCAATAGCTTTTAGAACTCTTGTGAACAACGGTGTCGAATTCTTTTGACAAATCTTGACGATGATCATTGAAACACCGTCTGCACAATTTTGCTGAACAGCCATCGCATGTGGCTATACCAGCATTTTTCGCACATTTTGTAGATTGAACCTTTGATGCAGTTGCCATTTAAAACAGCAATAAAATAGTCGTTCTTCTATTGGATAAAAAATCCACTCTGTTTCAGTCTCGTATTAAGGTTAACAATAAAAGAATTCTACCTAATGAGTGATACCAGTACGAAAGTCTCAACTTGTGCTTGTTGTCTATCTAATGTATACAAAAATTTCTGTCACTAACTCATCAGTTTAGACTGAAAAACCTGTTCTCTGTAAGTTTTTGTATTCGACACTGATTTAAACAGGTAACTATTTTGCTAAACACAAGTTACGTTTCTAAAATAGAAACAGTAGAACAGCCACACTTTGTACACGTTTCTTTTCAAAATAAATAAAATAAATACGCAGTAGAGACTCTTTCCTTTCTTTTAATGGTATATAGAAAGCATACCAGAAGAGAAAGAAAAAAACAAAAACAAGCCGGTCTGTCAGCGCTGGTGCGAGGAGTCAGATAATTGAAAACTTCTATTTTTTATCAGTTGATTGATTTTTGATTGATTGATTGATTTTATTTTAGCAACGGTATCAAAAATAAAAGAGCGTTGAAGTTAGATAAATGTACGGTTCAATTGTCAATGAATGAAATTTGTTTACCATTCATTACAGAACAGTTTCCGCTGCTACCTACTATCCGTGTCAAAATACAAGAGCAGTAGTGAATATTTTTTCAATAACTTTTGATAGAAAGCAGCTAGAGAGCTTTCGCCATGCAAAAGAGAAGACTTAGAGGCATGTTTCCATAAGAAGAATTATTTTCAGAAGAGTTTTCTGAAACAGGCTCTTTAGGAGATCTTTGGAAAAGCAGATCGTGTGTAAACATTTTCCAATAGGATTATGTTTGATTTTTTTTCATGGACTGATAGAGAGATGGCTCCTTCTGATGAATTCTGATCAAAATGGGACATCACCCACCTCTACACGACTGTTCTTTGCAAAGTTATAGAATTTACAAGAAAAGCACTAAATGTTCATTGTCAGCGCAAAGCTACAGAGAGAAAAAGGAATTTAGGGGCAATTTCCCAGAACTGAAAGTTTGTTTTCAGAACTATCAAGAACTAAGTTTCACAATATCATAATTTGCAAAGTCACTTTTGGTGTATTTATTACTTTTTTGCAAAAAGCAATACACACGGATAAGTGATGGGACTAATCTGGAATAAGTTGATCGACACTGGTACAGCTAAAGAAAAATATTTTCAAAAATTAAAAAATCGACGTCTTATTGAGTACGGTGACAAACTTCAAAAATGTCGTCTCTCTCTAACAATGGAAGATCGTGTATTGTAAGTGAAATTGATCGACCACATTCGGGTCAAATGAACACTCTCTCTGAGAAACTAACAAATTTAAAATATGAGCTGCCCTTGGCTTGCCTGGACATAGATATGCAATTTTTAAGTTATGCATTATTAGGCTATAGAAACATGATAATATATGAATTAATCACATGGAATTTTTAGTGTAATCACCAGATTTTTA